CCACTCCACTTCGTTCGATTCCACCCGCCAATGCCATTGCCATTGCCATTGCCATTGTCGCCACTGCCTATCCAATCCATTCCAATCCCGCCCTGCGATTTCGACTGCGATTCCATTGCCGATTCCGCCTGCACTTGCCCTAATGTGTTGATGTCAATGTGCTGGTAATTCGAGTAGGCAAGGACACGTCCTGGGATGTGCCTCTTTAGCGTCGGATGGCAAACAATTGTGAAATTGTAACAACCATTCAGCCAGTCGAGTTGCACTGAACTGAGCTGAACTGAGTTGAACTGATGTGGAGAAACAACAAAGAGTCACTGCGATAACAGCCAACTGAAGATCAAATGAATTGTGGAATTATGCCACAGAAATTCGAAATCAATTTGCACATGTGTTTCTCTTCCTGCCTCCTGTCAGCTTCTCCTGCCCAGTTCCTTTCCCATTTTTGTTGGCGGAACTGCTGCGACTGGCAAATTAAGTCAGTTTGGTTGGGTTATTTGTACACTTTGCACTTGGAGAAACGACCTTTTTGTAGCTGATGCAAATTACAATCAATACTTGTTCAATTTTGCAGGCTACTTTTGAAAAGTGTTGGAAAAGAATCTAAAGCAGAGATTTCTTCACTATAGTCGTTCCTCTTACACTTGTACCGAATAGGTTTTAAATTTAATTTGTATTAATTATTGTGCTAATTTCTGTAAGCAGTTGTTGCTATTTCTATTTCAGAAGTAGCTGCTTTGGTATATCTCGATATTTCTGATATGACATATCATTTATAGGTCAATTTGCATGATAGGCTGTTGCTGTGTCCTAAGCAATTCCCGGTCAAAGTTATAAAGTACATTAGTTAATATTCATGTTCATGATTCTTCATGGTGATTCTGCAACCGCTTTAAGAGGAATCCACCTCAGCACTCCATCCGATGAACGCCCACTTACCGGCAAACAGCTTGTTTTGCTGCCATTGTTTGGCCACCAATGATGAGCGAGGCTCCCCCAGGATGCAGGCACCCGAAGTTGCAGGTCCATCCGCAGCAGGTGCGAGCAGGTGCGGGTCGAACTGGGCCTTTGGGCGCTCCTTTCCTGGCTGTGAGTGGGTGCGTGCGTTTATGTCAGCGCAATGCTTTTGTTTGGCGGCATGCGGATGGCATACACGTCCACATCCGCACACACATCCGCATCCGTATCAGCGACCCCTGACCCCTGCCAGCGGCCTTGCCCCCGGCCATTAGCCCTCCAGGCCGAGCAGGACGGGAAGGACGGGAAGGACGGAAAGTACGGGCAGGACATCACCCAATTTGCTGGGACACGTGCCTCCACTTGGCCGTCCAGCAACAACAGCAAACAACCAGCAACAGGAGCAGTCAAGGAGTCAAAAGAAGTCAAAAACCGTGTCACGTGTGCGGCTGTGTGCGCTAATTTCGTCACCTCATCGTTTTTCCAGGAGCTTCCTAATTTCGCACGGAATGACAATGCTCGGCTGTAACCACCTCATCCACCGCACCCACCTCGACCACCCCATCCAGCGACTCAAAAAAAGGGAAAAGGAAAAAAAAAGGAGTGCCACGCCCACAACATGTGAAAAAAGTTCGCCAATTTTCATTGGGATTGTTCGGTTGGAAGTGTCTGTCTGATTTTCGGGGTTCACGTGTATATGGGTCACGCTTTGAGTGGCAAAATCTATTAAACTTATTCAATGCAATCATTTTATTTGTTTCCGATTCCCCCTTCAAAAATACGCGACCAAGATAACCGGATAAGCCAGATTATTTGAAGATGCCTTGGGGATCCAAAAGATACCTCATTTTGAGTAGCAAGCTGCACGAATCGGTTCCTTAAATATTTTGATGTGACTGAAGGGAGGTTGTATAAAAGTAGCTTGCTTTTTGGTTGCTTTCAAGTCTAAACTACTAAATATCGGAAAACGATCGTCTACTTACAGAAAAGTATGTAGAGCCTACAATCTAGACCGCCGTCTATAATTCCTCCAACCAACTATGGCTGATTGGTAGCTGTCGCACTTTAGAGCGAATTAGAGCATATTGTACAAGTATATTGTATTGCCTAATTAACAGACACCTGGAGTTCGGGGGCGTAGGGCGGTGGGCGTTGAGGGGCGGGTCTCCCTCTAAGTGGGTCGCTTGTAGTGCGGTCCATTGTCCAAGGACACGTGCCATGTGGAAGCCGGATCGGAAGCTGGAGCTGGATGGGCGATGGCCCTGTAATTTAATAAACTAGAGCTTCCAGCTGCTCATGCATTATTTGTATGCTTGGCCCATTGTTGGCTATGCGAATAATATTTTGGAATGACTTTAGAAGATCTTGAAAAAGAGTCAGCTTGGTATTAAGGCAACAAGTTTCAGGGACTTCGCACTGTATGACAAACTATAAATTTTGTGCACTCAAGTACCAAAAAGTACCAACGCAACCGGACAACCAGGGACTACGTCCAACCATCCAACCATCAACATTGAATTCTTGACTTTAAACACTTCCTACATCCTGTATGTGTTTTGCGCCCTATACAGATGTGGGGGTCGTTTGCACTCAGGGATTCCACAGGCTGCAAGGATCGGAGGAAGCCTTGAAGCTCCAGAGGTGTGCCAGAATCGCATGCAGTGCCTCGACATTGGTGAGGGCATCTCCAATGGGGAGCCAGCATCATTGGATTAGTTCTCATTAATGCCGGAGCATGGCACCTACGAACTGAGCATTTGGGGATCGGGATCCCGGATTCGGAGTCAACAAACTCTTGTCAAACAAACGAGCAGAATTCAACCCAAGGTATGGCCTAGATAACTCGGGTATCACATCTTTATGCATTCGATATCTGGTGAGATAATTCACGTTGTCTAAACCATGTTTTGTAAGAAATAACGCCTTAACTCGGTCTGCAGCTCAAATAAACTTGGTGTTCAGTTTAAACTACTCTCGGTCATATAGGATATATATAGGAAGGATATAACTATTTAACATTTAAGAGTTCCTCCTCTATTAAGTATTTATTGAAATTCCATTTGAATTTAGCACATCTGTGCATTAGATATTTAACTAGCGTACTATCTAAAACCCCTAACTTTATTTATAAGGTTATGCAAACACACTTCTGCAATTCGTAAAATTATTCTTTAAATACCTCCTATTTCTAAGCACTCAATGTAATAACCCAATAATCTTAAAACAGTGCAGTTCTGAATGTGTGGCTCCTTGGAATCCAGCCAGGAAACTCAGTTCCATGAGGAACGTCCGTTAGAAAATGTAAGATAGCCATTTAATTAATTTTTGGGGGCAACGTAATGCGAATGGGGGCTTTGTTTTTAAAGCGATATGCGTGCCTTTTTCTTTCGCCACTGGTGTTGTTATTTACGCATTTGTTATTGGGGCTTTTCTGCGCACATTAATGAGCTGCTTGTGCGCCTTTCATTTGCATATGTCTGTAAATGCCGAATCGATGGATAGATGGGCTTTTGATTAATTAACATATATAGGCGCGCACAATCGCACACAGTCTGCGGGAATATATGGCTATGTGGCTATATGGCGATGGCGATGGCGATGGCAATGGCCATCAGGCCATCTGGCTATCCGGGTGGTCAACTGTCCAACAGTCCAACTGTCCGGTTGTCGAGACCATTCGCTGGAAAAGGATAGACGAGGATGGAGCCCGGAGAGCGACATGGCCAAAAACCATAATTGATTGTCGATAATTCATGCGAGCTTAAATTGCCAATTGCTTGTGGAGTTGTGGGCGTAGGGTGGTCAATCCGGGGGTTGGCTAGTGGGTGGTGGATGGTGGCTCGAGGGTGGTGGGCGGTGGATGGTGTATGGCGGTCAGGACGGGAACGGAGATGTGAGATGTTATAGAGATGACCGTTGGACATTGATGACGGCTAATGGCGAGCATGCAAACGTCCATACAAACGTCCACTGGCAACTGCATATTTATATACTCCAATATTTGTGCTGTATATACATATGTACATATATATGCATATACATATATGTATAAAAGTGGGGGGGGGGTGGCGTTTGCACCAGACTCCGCATTGAAATGCCTAGAAATGGGCTTTTGTGGGTGTGTATCGGCTCGTATATACGCATATATATTTATGCCATGTGTGTTTCTGAACAGGCTGTGGCTCCAAAGCGGAGAAACCATCAGGCACCGATGAAAACCCATGAAACTGCCTCTCAGGCTTGGATTTCATGCTTAATCGCCAGTCCAAGCTTAAAATTAATAAGAGCATACCAAATTCCCACTATATTTTACATAATAGAATATATATACGTACATACTTTATAAATAAAATATATATTATTAGTACTACCTGCTAAGTATATGTATCATACTTGATATGATACTTGTACTTAGCATACAGATCTTTAGATAAATAGTGGTATCTACGCAGGAAAAATTTGTGGTTGCCTACTTTACAGCGCAGCTTCTATCAGATAATAATTTGATAGGAGTGTCTATTTAGGAAAAATAAGGTTGACAGAGTAACAGGATTGCTAGCGGATTTTAAGAATTTGTAAATGCGTTTTTGGTTCCGCTGAATAAGCAAGACCGAAAATTTAAGAACCCGTGGAAAAATGCAATTTAATAAATTAATTTAAATGAAGTTTAAAAGAACTTTGTCCAAATACCACAGTCACAAGCCTCTACTTTAATGTGCTAAAAGGTGCACAGTTTTTTTGGATCTCCCATTTTTTAGGGCCAGACACATGACGACATAGGGAACCAGATGAGCAAGGTGCAACAGGAGGACCAATGATGAACCTCCATGGTAGCCAAACTTGAAGGCAAAGTCTCATCTGTCATGATTCGATTGGTAAACCAGTGGGCGAGCTTATCGCGGGTGACCTGATTCAGGATTAAGAGGACGAAGTGCATCCAGTGGGCGGCACAACCAGCATTCTACGCCGCTGGCTTACGTTGTACTCGAAAATCGTGTCCAGTGCCGTTGATTGCAATTGTGTGGACGCAAAGGGCAGCGGAGGACATTTCAAATGGTTTATTGGTTCATACATAATTACATACATACATAATTTGTACAACTAAACGAGAAACAATTGGTGCGCTTAGTTGGATGGCAAATTAGAAGACATGCGGGAATGGTGGGAAAACAGTCTAGTTAAATGTGCGCTTGTGATTATGAAATTCATTTATCTAATACTTTGTTTTTGTCTTTTCCGCTTCCACATCCTTTCTGGTGGACGTGTTGGCTTAGCCCATGGCATCCTTTGCACACAACTTATCCATCTGATCGGAGTAGAACGCATTAAAGTTGATGCGATGCACGAGATTCATGAAGCAATCAGCGGTGTTCTTCTTCGCCATGGTGTTGATCTGCTTGAGGAACGATATCAGCAAGCCGGTGAATTCCAGATCAAAGCGTTTAACCCGCTCCGAAAACGTATCTTCTGGACCCAGTGAGGTCTCCAACTAGCAGGGGACAAAGAAATCACAAGTTAATCGTTGGCAAATACGTATGGGGTGCCACACAAATCGATTAGCTCTGAATTCGGGCGGAATTCTGAAGCACGCATCCACTTTTGTAGCATCCCTTTATAAGTTTTAAGTATAAGTTTATAAAATTTGAATCGGACTTAAGCTTCAAAAGAACTAGTTAATAATTTAAAATAAAATTATAAAATTTATAAAGGTTCATAGGTAGACTAATAATTTTAATGTCAAGCGAAAACCATACAATAACTTAATTCTGATGCACTATCGGCCATTTAAGTTTTAGGCCAAATGCTTAGGTAAATCAATAATATATAACTAAAAACTTCGAATATAAAGGTCAAAGCATGCAATCCAACTTCGAGATAAAAGAAACAATGCTATTAAAATCGGGGCCACGCCGTCATGCAATCCAGCTAGAATCCACTAGAAGTAAAACGGAAATGGGTCCACCGATACCGAAAAAGGGGCAGAACACAGGAACTGAAACGAACAACATGGGTAAGCACAAGCCTACACAATACCTGTGGCCGGTGCAGGCTCTCCTGTTCGGACTCGGAGCTGTCCGCGCTATCGTGGGTGTCACATACCATCGACTTGAGCTCAGCGTCCAGAAAGAAACGCTGCGAGCGCTGCGAAGGTGGGGTTTACAAAGGATTCGAGTTGGAGTTGGGGGCGTTGGCAGGCGGGATAGACATAGAGCATTAAAAGCGGAGCACGGAACCAGGCAAGAAAGTTGTACATGAAAAGCCATACAGCCACCTTGTGCCCTCGCACTGTAACTCACCTGAATGAAGTCGCAGAACTTTAGGCAGATCTTGCAGAGTTTAAAGATAGCACGGTTCAAATGTGAGGACTCTGTCAGCATGCAGTTCTTAAGGCACGAGTCGAGGAAGTCCTGGTGGAGACGCAGAACGTTATCCACGTTCTCCACCGTCTTCATCTTTTCGATAAAGATGTGCCAGTTGGGCTCGATTATCTCGATCATCATGTAGTACTCCAGGTTCTGGATGGCATTCATCATACGCTGGCGCAGAGTGAACGCCGATCTGTAGAGCTCAGCCGCTTGCGGCGAGAACTTTTTGGCAATCGAGTTTTCCTTCCAAATCCTGTTTGCGAGAGAACAAATTGAATAGTCTTGGGCATAAAAGAGGTAAGAAGGGAACACCCACTTGCAGAGTTGGCGCTCCACGTGCTTGCAGTAGAAGAGCTGTCGGAAGAGCATTTGGTACTTGGAGATGGCAATGTGGTTTAGCACCAAAGAGCAGGGCCACTTCACCTCGTAGGTGAAAGCGAAGCACTCGAGGCCACTCAGGTCGAGGCGGGGCTGTGCCTGCCAGTACTCTTCCTTCAGGTTCATGATCTTAGACATTTGCGTGACCAGGTCGTAGGGCAGCAGCTCGCAATGCAAATCGTCTTTGTAGGGATCGTTACGCGCAGAGGAAAGGCGGAGCGTTAGCCCCAGCAGGTTCTCTAGCGTCATGGGCAGCACATGGTCCACGTTTTTTGTCAGCTCGTCCTCGCAGGCGTCCATGAACTGCATGGTGAAATCGCCTTGATTAAGCAGTAAGTAACGCTTCACCGACTGTAGATGACCCATCAGGTCGTTCTCCGTTAGCAGCACATCCAGCAGCATGCGTGCGGCGAAGTAGTAAGCGTCATTAATGACGGACACGTGCCGCTCGCTGGTCGGGTCGAACTCAAGGTGCATCTCTTGCGTGGGCATTACGCGCTTGCCACACTGCCTGATCACATTCAGATACTTGCCGGTGCGCAGGATCTTGTCCGAGTACTTTTCCAGAAACGAAGGTATGTGGTCGCGGCGCACGTTATAGCGCCTCTCCCAATAGTCGTCCGAATAGTGCTCGGGCAGCTCGTCACGGTGAATCACTTCGTTGTCCTCCACAAGGAATTCCCGGTTGCGGTCCACGATCACGCCCTTCTGGATCCACAGCTGTAGCATTCGCATGTACGGCTCGGCCGCCTTGCGCGCCATTCCGATGATCAGCTGCTGTGCAGCTCGGTCGCCTTCCAGCCGCTTGATACGCTCGTGCAGGTACGTCAGCACTGCGGCATCCCGATAATCGCTTAGCTGAATATCCACCAGCGAGGTCCAGATCTCCTCCATCACCCAGAGCGTCGGCTGCAGGTAGTAAAGTAGCTTCTGCAGTGTTAGTCTATGTTGCCGCAGCTCCTGTTCGGCTTGTACGATCAACAGCTACAATCGGGTGGGAAGAACGATCAGTTAGCTAAGCATTTGCCAGGACAAGAATGCATATCCTTACGTAGAAGTCGTGTGTAAGATCCTGCAGTGCCTCATTCAGTGAGTTCATCACCTGACCCTGGCCGTCGGTGGCCGTGGCTATCTTCTGCATGCCCATAAAGTGGGAGGCCAATGGCAAGATGTCCTGCACCATCTCTGCCAGCGAGCGGTCAAGCTGCATGTTTATGTCAAAGCCCGTCTCGAACCTGGCCAGGCCAACGGTAGTAGGATCGGGCTGTCGGGGCACTAGGAGGCTTTCTCGCACGCCTGTGAGGCAGTGCAGCACCTCGTCGAGCAGCAAATTCTCCTGGCTGGAAAGCGGAAGGGCCGCGATCTCTGCCTTTGGAATCTTGTTCCCGTCCACCTTGTAATAGTCCCACAGTAAATGGGTGCGGTACTCATCGGGCACGCCAGTTGGCGTCGCCATGACAGCCGACGTCTTTGAGCTGTTGCTCGATCTGCTGTTAGGCGCATCGCTGATCCCCGAGCGGTAGCTGTTTAGGGATCGATCAGATACGGCACTTAGAACACGCTCCTTGATCTGTGTTGGTTGGTAAATGATTATTTGGAGAGGCCCAGTAGTCGGCAGCGAACACCACACTCACCACACTTAAATCGCCGCGCTCCTCCTTGTTCGGTCCATGGTTACGTTGTATTGGGCCCCGCCTGACAAAAACTCCGGAGGAAGAGTCGGAGTCAGCAAACTTTTTGCTATTCACCGGCGTCGAGGTGGGAAAGTCCTGGGCCTGGGGCAAACTAAGTATAGAGGATGTGGTTAAGCGTGCCGAGATGGGAAAGTCCTGGGACTGGGGCACACTAAGTATAGAGGATGTGGTTGAGCGTGCCGATGTGGATGAGCCTGCCGATGTTGTTGAGGCTGTCGATGTGGTTGAGCATGCCGATTTGGGGACTAAAGTGGCTGCGGGGTTGACATCCGAGACGGAGCTGGACGGGGTCCTGTTCCCTTGCGGCGAGCCCATTGTTGAAAGGCTAATCCCACTGCTGCACCTGGAGGATAAGTCGATTTCGCAGTATCGCTCGACAAACACCAGCAGTGCGTACATAGGATCTTTGCGCTGAAGAATATCCGCGATCTCCTTTGTCACCTCTATGCAGTTGGGCCGCTGCTCGCTAATGGACACCAGGATTTGGAGAAGCTCGCAGAGTGGCAACTGTCGTTTACTAGTGGCCATAAACTCCCGAACGATGCCCTCCGGAGTTAAAGGGGATCTGTAGAATAAAAATTACCGTAAACTACTGTGCCAGAGGCGGGAAAGAGGCGGTGTAGGAGCAGCGGCTAGATCGACCAGCCACCTGTGCACTCAATCCACTTACTGCGACTCGCTGATCAAATCGGCGAGCACTTGCCGCAGCGGATCGATATTGGTCATCGCAGAGATGGCGATTTACAGTTCCGCGCTTCGCAATTTACAGTTACAGCCGGGAATTGAGCTCTATTTTGCGCTCTCCTGAATATTTTGTTGTTCTTTTGTGTAATGTCTGAGTGCCGACTGTAGCGGCAGGGTTGTCATCTGCCGTTTTGTAATGTTCTAGTTCTTCCGATCCTTGGCCGTTTCGCAATCACAGCTGCTCATTTTAATTTCAGGATTTGTAAGAACTCCCGAATCAATTTAAATTGATTTAAGCGGCCCAAGCAACTTGATGCAAATTGGCATCTGTTGGTGTATAATTGTGAGGATGTGGTGACACTGGTGAAAAAAAGGCCGCGTTCAGCCTCGTTCACACTGCAGTGTCTACTACTGTGATTTTATTGCGTAAAACGAAAAAAGTTCTGGAAAGATACAAATAATAACATTTGAAAAATCACAACTTTTAACTTTGTAAACAAAAATTAAAAAAAAAATATATATACTTTTATTGATTTATTTTATCTTAGTTGTATATAAACAAGTTTTATTTTAGTTTTAGTTTTATTCTTTAAACAAAAAAGAAATTCATATTCGCATCTGTTTTGATTTTAAATTGCAGGCGAGTACCAGTGTGAATGGACCACAGTACAGCGGACAGTGTGACCGTACCGTAAGAGGGCTGCACTGGTATGCACAGGCGCAGTTCAAATCAGCTGTTTTGCAGCGCCCACAGTCGCGTCCCTGATCTTCTGCAGCCGAAATCCGTGGGCGTTGCACCAACCCCGCCAACGCAACGCAAAGACAACACACCAAGGACACGGGAGCGACCAAGCGGAAGCCGCAGAGCATACGAAATCATTACTTCTGGCAAGAGAAAAGAAGCATGTTCCCCCACTTGAAGGGCCATGGACAGCGGGTCAACCTGCAGTTGCTGCAGGAGGCCGCCTGCCGCGAGCTTGTGCAGCAGCTGGAGCGCATTGAGGGTTCCAAGGTGATTGTGCTGGACGAGGCCATGATCGGACCGCTGGACTTGGTTACCCGGCCAAAGCTATTCGCTGATAGAGGCATCCGTTTGCTGGCCCTCAAGCCGGAACTCCACCTGCCGCGCGAGGTAGCCAATGTTGTTTATGTGGTGCGCCCACGCGTGGCGCTTATGGAGCAGCTTGCCACCCATGTGAAGACAGGTGGACGAGCGGCCGCTGGACGGCAGTACCACATCCTGTTCGCCCCGAGGCGCTCATGCCTGTGCATCAGCCAACTGGAGGTCAGTGGCGTGTTGGGCAGCTTCGGACACATCGAGGAACTGGCCTGGAACTATCTGCCGCTAGACGTTGACGTGGTGTCCATGGAGATGCCCAATGCCTTCCGCGACGTAAGCGTGGACGGTGACACTAGCTCACTGTATCAGGCGGCAGTGGGCCTGGTGCAGCTGCAGCGGCTCTACGGTCGCATTCCCAAGATCTACGGAAAGGGAGAGTTTGCGCACAGGGTATGGGAGCACGCCAAGCAGCTGGGCCGGGATGAGCGGACTCTGTACAACGGCGACAAGGGAGTCGTCGATCAGCTAATCCTCCTAGACAGAAGCATCGACCTGCTTAGTCCGCTGGCCACACAACTCACATACGAGGGGCTTATCGATGAGTTTTACGGCATCCGGCAAAACAAACTGACGCTGCCCGCCGAGAACTTTCCCTCTGACGGAGCCCTCCCCGGAAGCGGAGGCAGTGCCCCACGAGTCGACGAATCGCAATCGCTGCTGGGTGACTCCGAGAAAAAGACCATCCTTCTCCACTCCGGCGAGCAGTTGTACGCAGAGCTGCGCAACAAGCACTTCAATGAGGTAACCAAACTGCTCGCTCGCAAGGCACGGGAAATTCACGTCCAGATGCACGCCACCTCCCAGGACAAGAGCGTGCAGGAGATCAAGAGCTTTGTCGAGAACCTCCTACCGCAGCTAATGGCCCAGAAGAAAGCCACCTCGGAGCACACGGCCATCGCTGGCCTCCTGCACGAGCAGGTGAACGCGGTGCGCTTCGCAGACGACCTGGCTGCCGAGCAGGAGTTCATGGTCTGCGCAGATATCGATAAGCAGAGCGCCTACATCGAAGACCTGATTGCCTGCAAAGTGGAGTTGAATCGCGTCCTGCGGCTCATCTGCCTGCAGTGTAACGCCGCCTCCGGGTTCAAGGAGAAGCTGCTATGCCACTACAAGCGCGAACTGGTCCATGTCTACGGTCTTGAAGTTCTACTCACCATCAGCAACCTGGAGAAATCAGGCCTCCTCCACCTGCAAACGGAGTCTCGGGCTTACAGCGTTCTGCGAAAGGTGAGCGTCAATCCAGCAATACAGCCATCCTTAGTTATAAGCATCTGAACCATGTGCTTTATTTGTGGGCCTATGCCAATAATTTCCTGTTGCAGACGCTGCACCTCACGGTGGACGACAATGTCGAAATTGAGCCAAAGGACATCAGCTACGTGCACAGTTTCTATGCTCCGCTGACCGCTCGCCTGGTGGAGCACTCCCTCAAACCATTGGGATGGCAGACACTCAAGAGCCAGATCAACAACCTGCCCGGGCCGACGTTCGAGGACTTTCAGGCGCAGCTGGTGGGCATCGGAGGACGGCACACTGTCACCACAGTCAGCGAGGGATCGCTGCTGAATGTGCCGCGAGTGGTGCTCGTCTGCTTTGTGGGCGGTTGCACTTTCGCCGAAATAGCTGCGCTGCGTTTCCTAGCCGCCCAGGAGGACAACAACGTGGAGTTCCTGATTGCTACCACGAAGGTCGTCAACAAACACTCCTTCCTGGACAGCCTAATGAGCTCGTGAGGGCGGCGGCTAAGCCGACTGGAAGCCCATCGCCTGTCCAACGCCCACGGCCTGACACGTGGATGAAACACGTCCGTTCCGCTGAAGCCGAGATCAAAACGAAAGGGCAAGCGACGCAGCGCGGAAATCGGTACTACAGATCAGAATCCAGAATGCTAAGGACGTTGAGAATAGCTCGATTACTAAGGACTCGCCGGCACGCGGAAACCATAAAATATTTATTTTTCGATCGCGGCATTTATTCGTGTACTCTATGTAACGTTAAAGAAGCCTGTATATAAATACAAGCATATATTTATGTATACCGAAATATGTAGTCCTAAGCGAAAAATTCCAAATCCAATTTATTCAAGCTTGGCAATTTTAGGTTTAAGTGCATATAATTCCAACTTACAATCATACTTGTGCAAGACAAATATTTTCATAATAAACTGTTTAGTCAATGTTATGCTACACTCTCCAGCGACATATACAGATTCCAAAGCTATTTAATCGCATAATCGATGTTCTATAAACCGAAAATGCGGACACCCCACAATTTCCCGACTAACTTGCTTGTAAATGGTTATAAATTTATAAATGATGTAACTTTTGTTCAAACTTGTGTATGTTCAAAAGTAAGGGCATTGAATGTTCCTTAAAGCGTTACCTTAACTATATCATATCTGAAAGGTATTGCATGAAATGGGTGGCTATTTCAGAGCATTAAAAATCCAACATGTTGAAACGAAATTAGTGCTGTATGAGTATGGAGTTTTGACAACCAACAGCTACAAAGATATTTGAGATATCAGGGATTAGTCTTTTGATAGTGCAAGTTCTACCAGTCGCAGCAGATGAGCCTAAGTCAACAAAAATGTGCTATGTTGGAATTTCGAGTGGGACGATTTGTGTCCGTGTTTTATGAAATTAATGTTTTCATCTTTATGTGCAAGTCCTAAAAGTATATCAAAATGGACATTTCAATGGTGTTTAAACTATTTTGTCCGTGGTGTTTTGACTCGATGTAAATGTAATTAATTGAAATTTGAAATAAACGGAAAGCATTCCAAACAAACGTTTTGATAATCTTTCTAGAATGTTTGCTTCCGAACAGACATACTCAGAACGAGTGTTAGATACTGGACTATAAGATACCCGTTACTCTGCTGAATGATGCCTAGAAATGGATGCAGATGTGCAAGATGTCCTGAGTTCTATAATAAATGGTCCGCTTTCACCAGTTACGAATATAATATACCCTTTAGCTCAACAAGTGGCGGGTATAAACGGATCCCATCGAACTGGTGAATAGAGAAACCAACGATGTTTTGCAATCCATGAAGTTTTCCGTCCTAATTTCATCGCTTAAATAGCACATTTTGAAGACGATATCTAATGGCACCCGTATACGAGTATGTATGCCACAGGATTTCTGAACTGGTGATTGCTGGTGGATTTTGTAGTGCCAAAAAAATCCATGTCCCATTAAGCTGAACACGAACTGCGAGCTTCTGTATTTTTAAATATGTTTTATTTTATTGATATTGACGTGCATCAATTTAATTGTTATTCGTTTTCCATCTTCAGTTGTCGCAATTGCAAAAATACAATTTATATTCATATAATTATTACAATAATAAAAAAAACAATTTTATAAACATAAAAATATTACATATATTGTGTTCCCCGTGCTATCTTCTTTTGCTTCTTTTTAGCTATCTCTATCTCTCTCGTTTCCCGTGTCCACGTCCACCTTCATTTCGCTTCTGTTTCCCAAACTATGGTATATATATATATCCATGTATAGCTCCGAAATGGCATAGTGATCATGGTGGATGCTCGGTGCTTCCAGTGTAATATCAACGGAAATACCGAAAATGAGCCTCCCCTCATCGCCTGCAATTTCGATCCTTCGCTCGTCTGCGATCATGGGCGTGGCTTTAAATTTAGTTTAGTTTAATTAATGACTAACGGAAATATATGCTTGCTTTGTCTCAGTTTTGTAGAATTCTATGTTTTTTAGTGAAATATTTTCGGCTGCATACTTTCGCGTTTTCCTCGTGAATGGTTGGGGGTTTGTGGGTGTAGTGTTTCCGCGGGTTTTGATCAGCATGCGAGTGAAGGATAAATAATATTTCCACGTAAACATAATCTTTGAATAATTAAACCTTTTTATGCTTTAATTTTCTATACAATTTTTATTGTTTTGACTAAGCATTTTGCAATTTGCATTAATTAACTCTAAAATATGCTTATTTTAGTTTTATATATATTATATCCTTCTTGTTATAACAAACAAAACTAAATTAATTGTAAACAAAATGAATCTTTTTGCGTTTTAATATTTGCGGGATTTATAATAATTTTGGCCATAAAACTTATTGTACAGCAAGTAAAATAAAAAATTTGTTGTTTCTCATTTCATTTAAAAAAATACTTTTATTTGAATCGAATCGAGTCAAAGTAGAAAAACATAACGTAAACCGAAATTGTTGAACCTAACAACATGCAAAAATGGCAATCGATGTGCGCCTGATTCGAACTGCGATCGCAGCGCCGTCGACTGACTATCAATTGAAAATAACATTTAAAGATCTCGCACACCCGAGTGCGAGGGCCAACTGAATGATCTATTTCCGCGAGTTTTAACAAATAATACACACCTAATTACTTTCGTGACATTTTTGCAGCGCGAGACCACAAATATATAAATGGTTAACAAATCAAAATGGTGATTGATTCAGTTATTCGGTAATAATATCAAATTAGACTTTAGATTTAAACACTTTGCATATCAAAGTTTGATGTTGATCTTTGTTTGCTTGCTTGTTTTTTTGTTTGTTGTTGTGTTATTGTTTGTGTATGACATTTATGCTTACATATATAATTATTTATGTTTGTTTTCCTTTGTTTTTGATTGATCTTGTATTAAATGGTTTCAAATATTAGTATCTTGTTGCCATCTCCGATTGAGTTTCCTTTAATACAAAACTATTGCAGCTTTTGCTTGTTGTAACTTTTAGAAAATACTTGGGTTCTAATGTTTCCTAAGCAACCAATCCGAGCATTGCTCGCAGTTGTGTGTATTGTATGTTGTATGTTGTGTGTTGTGGGTTGTGTGTCGTGTTCCTAGTTCCTACAAAAACATTGCTAGCCAGGACTGTTTCTGCTGCTAATGTTTCTGCTGATGTTTTAGCGGCGATTTCTGTTGCTTGTGTCGGGCTCTAGTTGTTGCTGTCGTACTGTTGGCTTTATAATTTCCATTAAAATTGAAGTAGTTCATATTACTAAACACTTGTTGTGGGGGTTGGCATTGTTGTTGTCTATGCTATAGCGAACCAGCCGGAAAACTTGTTGAACTATTGCTATGGGCTAAACTAATCATTGAACCAGACAGACTTCCCTCCTCATCTGCATAGGCTTCACGAGATACCTCAATCAGAGATAAAGTGCTGCAGGAAGAAAACATTTATGATTAGTTGTCTCCTCCTGTACGCATTGATGTAGATGATGTTGATTACCTGAAACCTAGGGCAATTGATTCATTATCAAATGCTTCCAATTCTTTAGTATGCTTCTCGTGTTTCATGCGCAAGCGCTCGGCGCGTTCCTGGTTGAATTGCTGCAACTCGGCGTCCATCTGTGGAAGAGAAGATGTCCATAAGGTCATACACAACGCTCCACTTGCCCTGCGGACACGGCAAACGCCCACCTTATTCTCGAGCAGGCCCCGCCGCACGCTAACGCGGTTCTCGAGCTCCCGACGCTCGCGATCACGCTGTTCCTGTGCCTGCTTCTTATTCTTGTTCTGGTAGGCAGTGAGCATCTCCAGCTCGTACTCCAGCTGATCGTGAGTACGGTGGCACTCGATCACTTGGCTTTCGTCTAGTTTGTAGCTCTGGCTTTGGAACATGTCCGCAATGCTTTGCTCGTACTGCAATGAAATGGGTTATGTTACGTCAATCGAGGATTGGGATGACTTTTATTATGTGCTCTGTGATAAATGAATTCGCACCTGTTCACCCAGCAGCGTCAGTTTGCGATGCTTCTCTTCCTTCAGCTGCTTGATGACCTCCTTCTGTTGCTCCTTTGGTGTCGTCTGCAGTACTTGGGCCTTATAGCGTTTGTATTGCTTCGTCTGAGTCTTGCATGTTTCCCGGAACTGCTTGCGTATCTGGAGCTCCTTTTGCTGTATTGTGATCAAAATTGTTAGACTTTTCCCCTTTCCTCTTCACCGCTGTGCATGCAGTACACATACCTTCAAGCTCTTCGGCTGTTGCCTTAGCTCAACCGCATGCTTGCGTTCGAGCTCCTTCTTGATGCGTTCCATGTAGTCTTCTTGATTATGCAACTCTGTATCGTGTTGCTTGTTTATCTGCGGTGGGGAATGGGATGTGTTTGTTGGGATGTGCACCATTTGCTAGGAGTTAGTGCAACTCACCTGCTCCTCGCGCAACTGGTGTACGCTCTTCTGCTGGCGGTACTCCAGCTCCTGTGTCTTTTCGTGGTGCTTAAGAAGCATTGCGTGTGCCTGTTGCAGTTGCTGCTCCTTCTTTTCGAGCTCCTGCAAAAGCAAAAGGGTTAGGCCAAGAACTGACTTCCATACCATATTGGGTTCTCTTACGTCGCGCAGCTGCTGATCCTCGTGCTCGTGCTGCATGATCATGCGCTTGCGCTTGAACTTTCGCATCTCCAGCTCGATGTACTGCTTCTGGGCCTGGAGCATACGCTGCTCCTCCTGCGCCTCGTGCTGCTTGAGGTTGTCCTTCTGCGACTGCAGGGTAAGATCGCGCTGCCGCTTGGGCGTCGACTCATCCATGGAGAGCTCCCGCTTCCAGCGCTCTTTGTTCGCCTTGTACTCCTTCTTGCGGTTCAGGTCGTACACCTTGCGGTCGTTCTCCTGCTTCAGCGTAATCTCTTTGTGTAGTTTCTTCTCGGCGGCGCTCGTTTGCTTAGCCCGCCTCTCCACATCCTGCTGGTGCTTCGTCTGCACGCGATCAATGGTTAGTGAGAGTTGCCTTCAGTCAATTTAGTTCAGCCCACACTCACCTCAAGCCGGTCGAGGTCCCTCGTAAAGTTGTGGAGCAGCGTGTCATACTCCTTGTCCAGGGCCGTCTTATGCGCCTCCATGTCCACCTTGCACTTCTCCTCCAGTTTGACCAGGTGCGCCTGGTGCTCGCGCCGCATCCGCTTGTAGCCGGACATCTGCTCGTGCATCTCCTCCTGCCGGATCGCGGATGGTATGATGGCGCACAGTGGAGCAAAGAATGCACACATGGTTAGAGGCGTGGAAATGCGAATGCAGCAGCGGAACCACTACGGCAAATCGTATACTACTTCTGCGACTAACTGTAACTTACAAAACCGCGGCCGAACTCCAGGTCAGCCATAACCTCAACGGACGCAAATCTCGGCCAAAACATTGGCTCCTCGGCCTTCTAGGCTTTCGTTCTAAATTCTACGTTCTAAATAGCTACGTATTATTAGGTTTGGCAAAATAGTTTCTGAAGCGGATTGCGCAATAGTTCTAATAGCTTTCTAAACAGCCAACTTAAGCTTAAGCAATTCGAAGCCTGGTTTCTTTTAGTGTGACCCTTTCGGGGATTACGGGGTGGTCTTGTGGATTGCCGTTCAACAGGGTGACCCCTACCAAGCGTTACAAGGCGATATGCGTAGCAGAACTGGAAGGACAGTGATGGCGAACTGGAAGGCGGCACTGCTGTTACACTCAAAGAATACATTTATGCATTCCAAAAGGAAACGACAAGTGAGTTTCAAAAATGTACAATTGTTATATATGTATGTTTTTTCATGCCAGCTCGTTCATATATTTTTAAAAAATAGGAAGACAGTGCCTCACTGAATGACTCGGTTGAAATCATTAAGAAATAACATGGCATATCAGCCCATAGAATTAACCAAATTGAGCCATTGAGAAATTACTTTTAAATGAAGACGGGTTGCTCTTCCTGATGTTACAGCAGCACCGGGATGATTGTTTTTTTTTTTTTTTTTTTGGAAAAATAATATGAAATATAGGAAAATAGAGTTCAAGAGGATCAAGAAACAGGTGAGCTAATGCTTGATTAATCAATCAACAACTACTTTTAACACGTAAAATATATCTTCTGTGTAAATATTCAAGAGCTGGCAAAATTCCAGCCCCAAGCTGACGACGACAAGTTGACATTTCTACTGTTCTAGCCACACTGGTGGCGAAAGGTGCGATTGAACTGAGGGACACGGGAAACAGATGCGTTTTAAGCCATGAGGGCGTGCCAGTGACCAGGAACTGTGGGGTGGTTGGCCGACGAGCGGGGAAACGAGTACAAGTGGAGGCTGGCGAGGATGGGCTTCGGTTACAATGTGATGGCGGATGCAACAACAACGGCTAACTACATTAAGTACATGGTACCGGCAGCGACTGCTTTTAAAACTTTATTTCTCAATTGATTGGCGCCTCCGCTCTGGCTAAGAAATTACACAGGGACAATGGCGTTTCAGGTCTTTCTTGCTGCCGGCCATTTGCTGGCTCTCTCTCCGCCGGCTGCCGTCGCGGCATTCGCTGTTGATGTGTTCGCCACCACACAGCTGCGAACAGAAGTTATAGCGCGCCTGTTCGAGGATGCGGAAGGAAAACAATAAACACAACAAAGAGCTTGTAGTAGAGGGCAAAAGTTAGAAGACATGTGGATGGCGGAAGCGTAGCAGCGAGCTGGGAGGGGGAATGGATTAACTAGCCGGCGGATGACTACCGACCATTGATGCGGACAGGACGGTTTACACACAAAGGCCTCGCGGTATGGAATGCAATCGGTGCTGGGACCGCGACTTGAAATTGGGCTCGGTCATGACCCCGTATAGTGCCCATGGAGGTGGATTATCTATGCTGCAGCCAGGCGACATCCCTGGACTCATCCCAACAAGAGAGCGCACACAGAAATCTACGGCCAAGGCAGGAGTATTGATAAACGAAACGCTACAACGCACCTGCATGTGTTCCTTTTGCTGCTTGGTCACAATACTGGTGGTGCGAATGGTGGCAAAGTTGTTGGGCCCGTGGTCGTTGACTGCGTTGGAAATGGCCTGTTGCGAGGACGCGGAGCTGGCCGCATACACGGCCGCTTGGGCGGCGGGCGTCGTTAGGTAGCGCGGCTGTATGGGCTGCATGCGATCCGCCAGGGGTCCACCGGATGCCGGAGAGCCTCCACCGCTGCCACCGGTCCCAGTGCCTCCGCCTCCCACGTGGCCCATCGCACTTAGGTGCGGCAAAACGGAAATAGGCGGTGGAAGCACTGGAGCAGGCGCTGGTGCCGGCACAACCGAGGCCGAGTTAGTTGGCGTCACATTGTTGTTCATGCTGTGCATTATGTTGGGCAGCGGCGGCCGATTTCGATGACGCGAGGAGTTGCGGGAAACGGCTCCGGGCGGAACCGCCTGTCCTTGCTGGCCGCTTGGCCAGCTGGGCGGCGGCTGCTGGTGTGGATGGTGATGGTGGTGGATTGCCGCCGCCGCAGCGGCGCTAGCAGCCTGCTGGTGGTGGTGCGCAGCGATATGGTGATGATTCTGGGCCGCAGCCGGTATGGAATTGGATGAGGAGCTCTGTAAGATCAGGATGAAAAAGAAGTTAGCGGTGGGTTAAAAGAGAACACAAAACTATGCTCACCTGACTACTGGCTGCCGATACACCCACCGAGTGTATGGAGTGTTCCGAAGTAATACTATTGCTCTTGCTGCTGTCGCCACCGGCATGGTCGTCCTGTTGGTCGTCGGTGTCGCCCACGGCGCTCTCCGTCTCGCAGGTGTCCACCATGAGTATCTTCTTCATCTTGCGGTAGTTGAGGTTGTCCAGCTCGCGCACGGCTGATTTGGTGCGGGCGATCAGCTCCAGCAGCACGGTGTCGGATCGCGGTCGGGTCACGTAGGCGTGGGTCAACAGCTTGGCCGACGAGGGTCGCTCTGCTGGCATCTTCTTGAGGCACAGTTCAACAAAGCTGCAGAACGCATCCGACCAGTCGTTCTTCTATCGGGTTGAAATCGAATAGGTTTAATAAATACATTCAATTACAGTTTCTTCCTAAAGGTAACTTTGTAATACTTATGTTTACTTTGAAATTGCTTTCCGAAGTGAGGAACATAAACACATTCGTAACCAGAAGCAAAAGACGTGTGTGAACAAATACGTTAAATAACTCAATAAAAAAAAAAAAAAGAAAACAATAACATCGTCGTAGCATTTCCGACTTAAGGAACCGTGAGCAGCGATAAGTTAATAAATACCCGAATACTTCAGTAATCAAAACTGCGATTGCTACTCACCGGAAGAGTTGGCGACTCATTCTGCGCAATGTGGTAGAGCGCCGACATGGCGTTCATGTTAAAGTAGGGAGGCTTGCGCTCCGCCAGCTCGATGCAGGTGATGCCCAGCGACCACACGTCCACCTTGCCGTCGTATTGGCCCTCATCCATGGCCAGGATCACCTCGGGCGCCATCCAATAGGGCGTGCCGACAAAACTGTTGGCCGGGCACTTGATGGCAGCGCTACCGAAATCGGCCAGCTTGACGACACCGTTGTCCGTGAGCAGGATGTTGCCCGCCTTGATGTCGCGGTGGATGCGCCCCAGCGAGTGCAGATAGCTCAACCCACTGAGCACACCCAGACAGATGGCAGCGATCTCGTCCTCGTGCAGCGGCTTTTTGTGCACCTCGATGATGTCCGAGGCGGAGCCCACGCAGTACTCCATCACCAGCCAGGCGGTCGACTCGCGCAGATAGCATCCCTTGTATTCTATGGTGTTTGGGTGGTTCAATTGGCGAAGGAAGCTGTTGTGTACACATAAATTTATTATAATTCACTCGAGCGAACGCATGGGTCACCCAGTGCTCACCGTATCTCTTTGAGAATGTCCTGCCACTTCTCCTGACTCTGCTTGCCGGTGTAGGACATCTTTTTGATGGCCACGATCTCCTTGGTGAGGTTGCATCGCGCATAGTAGACCGCGCCGAACGACCCATGGCCAATTTCGCGTAGGTCCTCGAAGATTTTCTCCGGGTCATGCTTGTTGAATAGGTCGGCTATTTCCGGATCCTTGAGACTACCAGGTCGTGCCGAAGGCATGGCTGTCTTTCATGCTCTAGCCCAGCTCACTCAGTGATCGACCTGCGTGCTTTTCCTCGTCTGCAGCTCCAGTTGGCTACTCTGCTGTCTTGAAGTTCTGTGCAGATCGGGTGGGGCGAGAAAAAGGCGATTCCGGTTAGTCAGTCACAGTTACAGCCTGTGCCAGTCAGTTAGTCATGTTCAAAGGGTCGAATTTTTCGGGGATTTTAGGCTGAAGCGCTGAGACTGGGAACCAATCGACTTGGGCGGCACGGGGCGTGGCGGGAATGGATGGGCCAGTGAGGACTGGGCTTTGGACACTCACTGCATGGACAGACGGAACAGACGGACGGATGGGAACAGCCAAAAGCCGACTATCACCAAATCGATCAAGTGATTCACACTCGCACATACTGTACGAATCATTCAGAAATCTCAATTCCTCACGCAGCACGGCCTTATCGCAAATATGTTGGCCCTGTCATTTATGGCCAGACTATTTTCCTCAACTTGTTACCAACTTGTCAGCTGCTTTTTGGCCAGATTACGACAGCTGTTTAGGGCATTTGGTAGTCGGCATGACTAAGGCATTTTGTTTTCGAATAAGGAATGAGTGTAGGGTAAGCGCACGTGCTGCAGGGTATTCAAAAGTCGTCAAGACGACAAACACACACGAGCTGCAAAGGAGTAACGGCACCAAAGGGGTGCATTTGTCGCCGTTGCGAATCCACACACACACACACACACACACACACACACATACAGTGGAGTGTGCAATGCGGAGGCGTTTTGCGGGCGTCTGCGGATATCCGCCGGCTAAAGACGCGGATTTTGGCCTCCGCTGGAGCTCCGGCTTTCGACTATTGCCGCTTGGCAAAAATACTCAATACAATTAGGCCCTTGTGATGCGGCGACTGCAATTCTTTACTTGCGACGCGAAACAGAAACACGCCTATTTTTCAAACCCCACACACTATTGCACAAAGAGCAGCCATGTCGCTCAAACACACACGCGCGCGCCGTATATGTATATGTGCGGTTGGATTGCTTGTTGTTTTGCATTTCGGGCGACACAAATTCAATTCAATTCGTGCCTTTTCTGTGGCTTGCTCTTTCGCTCAGCTCCCCGCCACAGGGAATTGTAGTGGAAAACTGAAAAGTTCTGTGATTCGGATTGATTTTCAGTTGGTTTGGCTGCCTTCTCTTTGGGTGCGGACTCAGGCACACACAGGAGGCAAAAAAAAAAAATAAAAAAAATAAAAGCGCACGAAGGCGGTGATGCTGCGCCAGTTGTTGGTTTCCTTCTCTGGCTGTCCGATTAGTGACCGATTACCATGGTTGATTTATGTTTTACGATTAAAATTGAATTATATTGCTGCACTTTGCAACTGTTTTGAATCGCCTAATTTTGTTTTGCTTGCGCACACACACACACACACACACTCACGCTCGTCGAGGGAGCAGACAAATACACACACATTCGTACAGTTCGACTGGTGCTATCCCTTTCTCGCGCATTGAGGGGAGTCGTCGCACCGAAATCAGATGTAGCACTTAACATCCGCAAATGCGTTGTAATTACTTGGAATTTGTGGGAGAAATGATAATACTAAATTGTCATTTTGCAGAATAATCAATTTAATGGGCAGATAGCACACAAGAAATTAGCATTTATTGGCCAAAACGCAAACGCGAAAAAGAACAGTATGCACATACACACACACGTATGCGAACATACGCATTCACAAACACAGGCACACACGTACACAGGGATGGAGAGACAGTGGAAAATGCATAAATCTGGCGAGGCGAAAAAAAAAACGATTCGAAACGATTGAACTTTTTCCACTGCGCTTCAGGGCTTACTTTTGGCAATTAATTAGTGCTTGCTTGTTTATCGGCGCAACTGGGTCTTGTTTTTCGCATCTGTATGCATTTTTTCCTCATGCGTCGCTCTCCCCACGCCCGCTTCTGCTGTTATTGGCCCTGCTGCGACTGCGATTGCGACTGGGAACGGGAATCGGAATGGGACTGTTAGTGGTAGTGGTACTGCTACTGGGAATGGCAACTATTGCCCTGCACTGCACACGCGTTGCGTTCACAAGTCCGCACTGGCTACGCATCTCGAGTGCCGAGCACCGAATTCGGGGGATCGTTACGTCGCAGATGCACCCATCTACGGCACGGAAAATTAGCAGCGCTTGTCTATTTGCAACTTTTCTTCACTCGTTTCTCTAATTAAGTTCCGTAAAGTTCACGTTCACACACCATACAGTGTTACCAGATCGGACGAGCGGCTTTTCCCAAAAAATGACCTCCGACGGCCCAGAGTTTTTACTAAAAAATCCAGATTTTAAGCGATATATTTACAAGTGAATTTTTTCGTAATGTGTTTATGAAGTAAGCTTTCGCAACGGAGTTTCCATAGTTGAATTGGCTTAATTCAATTGGTATTATGAGAAAAAGTTCGTTTGGCGCCAATCGATTTCAGTCTATCGATAGTCTAATCCGCTGGTGAAGTGTGTGGTTAAGCTATCGTTTACGAAATATTTGTTATATTTTAAATATCTGAAGATCAATAACTTAACTTGTAAAGAATTAAGTTTGTTTTATATCTCAAGAAACCGCAGTTTGAACATATATGTGGGAAAAGTACAAATATGTATAAAATTTTGAATAACGTGTTAATATCTCATCGAACAATTTTGGCGCACATTACAAAAAAATAAATAAATAAATGTTGTACAATGACATGTACAATGACAATAATATCATGGTCCGGGAGATTATTTAGGAATTTTATGTATAACGACCCATAGTAATTATAAATTACAGGGCTTAAAGAATACCATCGGTCGCACAATTTAGCATTATTTTATTTGAATTATTATTTATAATTATGCAAACTGGGAATAAAAAAAAATGGATACTTATAATTAAAAATTAGTTTATGGTAAATTTTAAGCACACACTGCAATACATAAGCTATACATATGTACAAATAATATTTCAAGGCTGCAAAGTTAATTTTATTGCCACACGATGGTGAAATGAGAAACTATACCGCTTAGTTATAGAAGTACTGCTGCTGCTGATTGAAAGTCGGGAAGCGATTCAGGTTGCCTAGCTCGAGGGGCGGGAAGTAGCCTTGGGATGATGCGGGAATTCCAGGAGCCCCTGCTGGACCCTGATCCTGAACTGCATCCTGTCCAGCGAACGGCGGCCTGAAGTCATCTTCGCTATCGTAGTTGACCAAAAACCGCGGAGCACTTGGAGGGGGAATAGCAGGTTCGGAGCTAGCCTCAGCAGCAGTAGCAGAGAAGTCAGCTGCATCCGGATCTGCAACTGAGTCCGCCTGGGAGCCATCGACGTCTCCGCTGTCTGGATCAGCCGCCGCCGTCGCCTCCGCCACGGCTCGCGACCTAAAGAAGGTATCTGCAAAGTGTCGGAGAGAACCCAATTGTACGGCAGTTAGTTAAGAGGTTTCGTATTTTACCAGTAGGTTGTGCGTACTGATAGATAAGGCGGTCTCCCAGCTGGGCCGGACGCCGCTGTTGAGGATCGGGCTGTGGTGGTCGTGGGCGCGGCCGTGGCCTTGGGCGTGGCGGAGCTGTGGGCGGCGGTGGGGGAGGTGGAGGTGGTGGAGCTTCAGCTGGCGCTGCAGGCTGTGCATCATAGTCATAGTCGTAATCATAGTTGGGCGGAGGAGGCGGTGGCGGTGGCGGTGTCGTTGAGCGAGGACGTGGGCGTACCTGCGGTCGGACGCGTCTAGGCGGTTGCGCAGTGGGCGGCGGAGGCGCTGGAGGTTGCGCTGCCGGAGGATCAGCGTAGTCCACATCGTAGTCCCGTGGCAGAAAGCCGGAACTGAAGAACGGATGCCATATGGGCTTACGAATGCGTATGGGAGAAGGCGGCGGAGGCGGTGGAGGGGTCGTCGTGGTGGTGGTCGGCGGGCGACGGGTGGTCCGCGCTAGATTGGCCTTGGCCGAGGACAACTGGGCGCTCTTGAGCAGCAGGTTCCGCAGGAGCAGGCCAAAGTCCAGGGTGACAGTGCCGCGCTTCTCCCGCGCCACCTCCGTATCCTGGGGCACAGGATCGGCTGAGATCAGCGCCAGGAGCAGGCCCACCAGCAGGGCCAGCAACTGCAGACGTAACATCCTCATCCTAACGAATCGACCTGCGTCCAGATCAAAGAGTGTGCAACGGAGTACGGCGTGTGTACCGCTCGGAAGGCCGTTCCAATCAGAACTGGCGCTGGTCAGCGCTGGAGTCGCCTGACTTTACTCCGACGGAGTGCTGCCACGCGGGCCTGGGCGTCGCGGATTAAGTGTCCCAAAGTCAACTAGTTAGACGGGTTAGCTGCGACTGTCCGTCTGGATCTCGTAATCGCAGACCCCGACTGCCGGCGGTTATCGACGAGTTCAGTGCGTGGCAACAATTACTTTTGCACTACTTTTGCGCCAGTTTATAGATCGTAAGTGCAGCTCAAACTATGCATAATGCTTAGCAGCCAGTGCATTTCAAGAGGTGAACCAACACGCACCGTGGGCTATGACTCCTGTACCCATATCCATATGCTACCAGTAATGTTCCCCAATACAAACATACCTTTGTTCATAAGGGATTGAACTTAATTAGTATCCATACTGTTTAAGTAGTTATATGCCAAGTTGGGTACTTCTATATGTTATAAAACCTTGAGATGTATCAATTACTAACAATACAAGATTGGGAAACTCCCAGAACATACCCAGACTTATATGTAGTCTTTGAATAAGTCCCCTACCTACAATTTAGGGTTAAAAGGAGCTGAAATACCTTTTTAGAAAGGGTAAATAGGGTATAATTCCCTAGAGATTGGATAATTGTAAACTCAAGAGGCGATATAACATATACCATAAATATAAACAATTTCACCTGAACTTGTGTCAAATCCAATTCCTCAAAGCACTTCCCAACACCAGGTTCATGGAACAATCCAGATTTTGGGGTGGCGATAGCGACTGGCGAACTTTATGGCGTATTCTACATATATGCTGTGTTCTATTAGTACAGATTATACGAAGTGTATGGAGGAGCTATGTGACCAATGGGGAAATATTATATATTGCGTGGATGTGAGTCACGCATTTTGCACATTTTTCGGGTCCTGACTTGTTCGCCAAGTTTGTACCACTATGCCGAAAAGGGGGCTGTCACGATTTGCTCTCATAATAATATGAATTTCAATTTCAGCCTGGCTGCGGCTGTTGCATTTGATTTTCAAGATATATTTAATCATTTCGAGAGTAATTAACAGCTTTTGGTTTTCCTAAGCATTGGCGCAACTCAGTTTTCCTAGCTCATTGCGACTGGACAATGGTTACCTCTCGTTTTCAATTCGCATTCGCATTAAATTGGTGGAAAACCAGTTTGGGCCTTGGATTTTCAGAAAGGTTTGACCAAAATTTTGACTCTTGTGGCTTGAGTATTGTGGCAGTTCTGCATGCAAATTGGATTTTTACTCTACCGGTTGTTCAGGTCTTTCCAAAAACGGATTTACAAATAGGCTCTTTCTGATAGCTTTAAATAATATTTCAAATCTTATTAGTTTTCTTTAAAAAAAAACACAAACTTTATGGAAATACAAGCATATGGGTGTTGAATTTAAAACCCTAATTTAGCGTTCGGATAGGCAATGCTTTTTGAAGTCAAGCTGGGTATCTGATAGTCGGGTCGGGTGTCTAAGGCGTTCCTTCTCGCTGTAACCTTGATGTGTTGCATAACCAAGAAATGCGAATCTGGTCCAAAATTCGTCTAAAACCTGTCTGTGCCACACCCCGCCACTTTTGGCTGGAAACCTAGACGAAAGTGAAAACTCGCTCCAATTTCCATTTCCCACCGAAAATCAAACGCAACAAAAGCTGGGAAAACTACGGGATATCGAGCAATTAGTTTACGATGTTAAAGACTAAGTAAATCTCAGTGCCGAAAAACTTTTGATTTCGAATGTCGGAATTGCAGCCACAAAACGACAGACAACTGACAAACGATTGCTGAACATGTTGTTGAATACCACATGCATGTTGTATGGAAAACCAAATCTCGTTTTAATCACCTATAATTGGTGGCTGCTACAATAGGTAAGTAAGCAAGTAATTAACCTCCAGAAGACCTAGTGGTATTCTTCCCAATGATCAATTCATACTCCGTGTCTGGCATTCTCTGGAAATTCAATGATAAGCTTTCAATCGGTCTAAATCGATTTCCAATAATCCGAATAATCTTTCCGGGTATTCTGCCACTGAAATTGCCCTCTTGCCCTGATTACCAAAGCTGTAATATGACTCTGATTATTGGGAAGTGCTGGACGGTACGCGGTATTCGTATTAAGTGGTTGGATTTGTGCGATTTCGAATAAGCGCGATGGTAAACAGTCGTAATGTGGGGGCTCTAAGAGAAAGATGATCAGGGTATTGGGTATATTGCTCAATGGCGGACAGACTTAACTGGAATGTACGAATCTTATCAGTTCAAATTTAACCGTTATTAAAACGAAGTACATTGTAATATAGGCACTTTTAGCTACCGAAGGTCTAATGATACGATGGAATGGTCCTTGAGTTGAGAAGCCTTACACTTCGCGGAATTACTCATTATCTGTTTACGACTTTGGCGACCAGGTGTGTTTTTACGAGTCATATAGGCAAAAAAATAGGCACAAAAAGAATTACATGGTGACTCACAGGAACCAAAAACAGAAGGAACGATTTATTCTAGTGCCCGACTATCAGATATGCGTTAAAACCAAAGCACGTGATACTTAATCTTAGCATAATCTTCATGTCAGTCACTTACTTAAATAAAGAATAATAAAATAAAGTAATAAAAAAGAACAAAGAATTTATTAATTCATTTATTACTATTATTAATTTAAAGGAATTATAGGGCTGTCATTACAGGACTTATAATTACTTCATGCTTAATAGGACTGCCATAGTAATTTTGCGTTCAACATCCTAAGGACTGTTGAACGTTTTATTGATTGACCATTATGTTTCCATCTTATATCTTATATAAGGATTAATTACAGATGCTTTAGAAGGCTATACTATACAACCCTTTGATCGTCAGAAAATAACGTGCCTCAACGGTTTTGAATAACTATACTCGTACACATGGTGATAACGCCCTAATAGGTTCCAGCTGAATTATGAGTAGCACTTGTGTCCCCGCAATCAGATCCATCGCATTATAAGGTATTAGGTGACTCGTAAAGGCACTTGATGCCTATTTAAGGCAATCTCTGGTGCTATCAATGAGTAATTCGGAGAAGGCCGGCTAACTCGATTGCCATCGCCTAAGGAGCATCGAATTAGTCCGTAATACCACCAAATAACGTTGTTATCAGTGTCCAAGTGATTTCGCTAAAACGATTCAGACTTATTATTGGGGGAAGTGATATTTGTGTTTTTCGGTTACTTTGATCCTCAGATAAACAGCAAAGACGCCATCGCACATAAATTGCCAAATAATCTAAGTTTCCGCTTAACAACCTTTCTACTGAAGGGCAAGGGGCTGAATGATTAGAAAAGAAAATCCTGTTACTACCTCGACCACCAGATACCCATTGCTCACCAGCGCAACCTGGCGGCGCTTACATTTGTTATAACTTCAATTTTTGGGCTTTAAAATGGGCCACGCCTACAAAACTTCCAATATACATATGTTATTACATACTTTTCAACGAATCTAGCATACCCGGCTAGTACTATAAATAGCTAAGTGACCGAAATACTGCCAGCTTTCGTGTACCTATTACGGCCATGATTTTTAATATTTTATGTTATAATATTAAAAATCATTATTAACTTGAATATATTTTAAGTTATCTTATAAAATTGTAAAATAAATGAAAATGTTAGACATAGATGAGGTCCTAATGATCAAAGTCATTAACTTAACTTAATCGATCGAGTTCCAACCGAAAGCCCACAAAATAGTGACCTTTCAGTTCCGCATAAACAACCACTTCAAAAGTGTTTTCGTTCAAACAATTTCCATAAAAGCGTCCCGAGTCGTCTAGACTATATTTATTGGCTTGGGAATAATCGCAGGCCAAATCTGATCCAGCCCGTTACTATTGGAAGATAATTTTCGAGCAGGGCGGACTTTGCTCGTAGTGGGAACATTACCACCACCCGGTATTGACCATGGCATTGGTTGAGGTAGTTACACAAAGAACCATTTGGGACTGGTCGTGAAAAAGATTATCAAACGATAACTAGTCTCCCAGTTCCCAAGATAGCACCACTGCAGCCAGCCCTTTTCTTATCGGAATCTCGACCTCGTATATAAGATCGTGCGAAGTGCTACCACAACCAAAGCACTGTTTACTTCCAACCCAGCAACATGGTCACCATAAGGCGAACCATTTCGCTCCTGGTCTTGTCCTTGGCACTGACCAGCGCCAGTACACGTGTGGAGCTTCCAAAAGACGCCTTGGACGTAGCCAATCCCGAGTTCCAGTCACAATCCTACCACACAATTTCCAGGCTCAGACGCCTATCAGTGGAGTTCTTCGCCCAGTATCAGAACATAACGATCTCCGATCTCGCGCAGGATCTGTATCGCGATAAGAACATACGACTACCCACGACCGACGATTGGAGGTGCCTGGCAGATCTGAAGACTCTAGCGAAAGATGTGTCCGATAGGAAACTGTGGGCCCTACGAAGTAAGTTCACATTTCATACAGAAAAAATGACTTATTGTCATTGTTACATTATCAGCATAATACAACCATCTATTACAGTGATTGACTCTTGGGGCACTTTGCCATCGGGCATCCTATACGGCAATCTGATAGATCTGGGCAACTTTGACGAGTGCCTGGGCATAGACCACTCTGTGACCTCCGCCCACAATGTTCAGGGAAAGTACTGTCTCAGCAAGCTCCAACTGGCACCCAGTATCTCCACCTTTCTGGCACTCAAAACAGCGGTCTGCTTTCCCGCCTCCTGTTCCGCCGCCCACATGGACATGATGCTCCGAAGATTACTGCAGAACCTCCTAAGCATTGAGCTGAATCCAGAGGTGCCTCTGGTGAATGAGGCCACATGCAAGACTGCCGATCGGGCGCCTTACGATGCTCTAACCATCTTCACAATGTGAGTGTCCTTGCAAGAGTTCATGTAAGTTATGGGACTGACATCATCGAGATATTTTTCAGAGTCGTTCTATCTATACTGTGCGTGCTCATGGTACTGTCCACCGTCTATGACTACTTGATCTGCCAAGATGAGCGTAAGTATTGCCATTGCGACATATGAATCGAACTCATATGCTAATGTGATAAACGTTTCGGCAGAGCCACTAAATAAGTGGGTAAAGGCTTTCTCCGCGCGTGCCAACAGTCGGGTTCTCTTTAGGTTGGTGGCCCCCAGGAGCAATCCCAATGTCATCGAATGCCTTCATGGCATTCGAGTACTGTCCTTCATCTGGGTTGTCTATGGACACGTATACCTCGTGGCAATCTTTGCTCCCAACATGAACTATGTCAAACTGGACACGGTAAGCTGACTTAGCTCTCGAAATTTGCTGAATCCATACCTTATGATGTATTTTCGCGATACAGTGGCGCAGATCGCCGTACAGTATGCTATTACAACACGCAACATACTCGGTGGACACGTTCTTCTTTTTGAGTGGCCTCTTGATGGTGGTGATTGCCCTTAGAGCAATGGAAAGGTAGGTCACCTCGGATTTAAGCTACAGGAAAGGTGTTTATGAGAAACGACTCAGCCAAGCAATTATAAAGTGTTGCATACGCTTAGATACCTCTTTGAATCACTCAAGACTTACCGGGGATTCCTGATTCACATTGACCCATTTCCAGAACCAAGGGAAAGCTGAATGTGTCCCTGATGATTCTGCATCGCTATCTGCGCCTCACTCCGGTCCTGGCCATGGCCATTATCGTCTATATGACGATCCTGCCCCGAATGGGCGATGGCCCACTGTTCGGGAAGGTTAACTTCGATGATTTCTCCAAGTGCAAGGACACCTGGTACTGGACCCTCTTGTATGTGCAGAACTATGCCACAAAACAAATCGTAGGTTACCACACCCCATTCTAACTGGGATTCCCTTGCTAATCACACCCCGAACTTCGAACAGTGCCTGGGACATTCCTGGTACCTGGCCGTGGACATGCAGCTCTACATCATCGCACCCATACTCCTGATCGCGCTCTACCGATGGAAGAGTAAGGCGGTCGCTGGAATTCTTGCCACCATGCTGCTCCTTGCCGCTTGTCTCTTCAGCATCATGGTGATCGAGGACGTTTCCCTGTGAGTTCAGACTGATATGGATATGGTTATGATTGTGGTCTGACCTTACTGTTCTTTTTATTTTTCTGCAGCATTGCGACCAGCGAAGAGGCGATGGAGAAGATTTACTTCTCTACACACACCAGGGCGTCCCCTTACCTGATTGGCATTCTGTTCGGATACTTCCTGCACGTCAACCGAGGCAAGTCCTTCAAGCTCAGTCCCGTTGCAGTCATCCTGGGCTGGCTGACCAGCTTGGCGCTGCTCTTCAGCTGCTTGTTTGCAGTCTACGTGTATGCCGTAGATGCGGAAAAACCGCCCATTGTGGAGGAGGCCTTCTACCTGACATTATCACGGATCGCCTGGCCCCTAGGTCTCTGCTGGGTGGTCTTTGCCTGCATGCACGGCTACGGAGGACTGGCCAACAGCTTTCTTTCCTCTCCGCTGTGGCAGCCCCTGTCCAAGCTATCCTACTCCGCCTACATCTTCCACATGTTCATGGAGAGTCTCAACGCCGGCATTACGCGCACCAGCACCTACTTCAGTAATTACCAAGTGGTAAGTGGAGTCCACTATGCGGTAATGAGTCACACCATTAATTGGAACCCTTGCAGATGCTTCGTTTCTGGGGCGACTTTGGCTTCACCATGCTCCTCGCCTTCGCTGTGTACATCCTGATCGAGGCGCCCTTCGGAAACTTAGAAAGCCTCTTGCTTCCCACCAAGATGCCAAGTCCCCCGCTCCCAGCTGAGAAGCAGTCGAAGGAAGCTCCAGTGGAACGCACTGCATCTGCGCCACCGTTGGAAAATAAAACGCCCCTTTCCGCATAAGGATCTCGAAAATAGTTATGAGCAAAGATTTTTTTTATTAATGTTAAATTATTTAAACTATATTTTATTTATGTATATTTAATATGTAAGTCGAACTTCTCTCTAAGAATTTAGAAGTATTTACATATGTATATACGAAGGTAGAAAATACATACATATACAGCAAAGAAATATTATTGATTAGTCTGCAATGTTTAAAAAATATTTTTAAAAGTACGGTTACTTAACGAATACTATTTTTTTCATTACATTATTTTGTATTCAAATTACAAAGCGTGTGTCCTCGTATATTAATAAGAGAAATTAACCTAGCTTTTTATATACATATACTAGTGACGGTGTTCCCCGATAGAATATACATAGAGGTATATATAGGATGCCAAGTTGCATGCAAGTTTTAGACGCAAAGAGAGAGACAAACACGAGAGCGAAAAATTCCATTTTTCTTTGATATTTTAGATGAGTTTGGCAACTAAAATTTGCTGGTTGCGATTAGAACAAAACTTTTTCAGCGATTATTATTTGGCTTCTAAATTGCTGAATTGACAACAACAGCAGTAGCGCTTTTATATTTTCTGGAAGCAAAAAAACAGCAGGCATGCAAACTTGCCGTCCGATAGAATGCGTACGGAACGAAAAGAGAGCAAAATAAATACCACTTTTCTCCGATATTTCACTTGTTTACATCTGGTAGCGATTAAAACAGAACCTCTTCTCACTGCTTCCTCATTGCTTAGTGTGTTGTCGATTTATACAGTAAACTGTAAACTTTGACTTATATTGACAACTATTATATATACGCTTATATATTAATACGCTTATTTTCTTAATTTGCATGGCTCTTATTGGCATTTAACCCACAGATTATATCATAATATATAGTTTGTTTTTTGTTTTCATGAAATCAAGGTTTAAAAATTATTACATTTATTAATTACATTATTTGAAAATGAACAAAAAACTCTGAATTGTTGAAGCCGATATCAAAAGCGCTTTACTGCCCATCACTAATACTTATTTGCAATAAATAATTACGATTTTTGTAGATCAACAAATTATCGATACCCTGCATTTGCAAAAAGTGGTGTGTGTATTAACTAAACATTTGGCAAAACACTTATCAATTTGGAAATCGATACTTCAAAGTCCGGCACCGCCAGCACCGGCATCGCTATCGAATGCCCTATTAGACATTTTAAGTTATAAAGTCGAAAATAATGTGATCAGTTTAAAGTAACTCCCCAAATCGTAAGTCAAGTTGTGCACCACAAACTGTATAGCAAACGCAGGTATTTTATTTAATCTCGCCATTCAATCGTGGATTATTTCTAGAGATATATCGATATATTCCTGGAGCAATCGATTGCTATCACATACCGAACCGTCCGGCCACACTGCTCTCCGTCTTCTTCTTGTCATCCCTTCCGTTTCCCTTTCTTTTCGTCTTCACGTTTCCGGTGAGTGCGTGTGCTCCGCGAATTTTTAAGCAAAACTCCTTATTAAAAACCTCCAATTCTCTTTTTTACTTGCAGCGGGAGTATTACGATACGTTCGCGTTCGTGTAACTTTGTGTTTGCAAATCAATCCAGGTAATTGTCGCCGAAAAACCCGATTTTCAACTGGACGCACCGGGAAAATATGCGCCCAATGTTGTTCCTGAATGCATGTGTATATTTTTTTTATGTGGACAAAGACCCGAGTCTTTCAGACTCAATAAACAATGTGTGAATTGGATACCAGACGCATCTGTAGATATGTCCTGGCGATGAACCCAATCTAATTGCATTTTTTTTTTTGTTTGTGCAGAATGTTTATGCCAAAGGCCCATCGTGTCGCGATCTACGAGTACCTCTTCAAGGAGGGCGTGATCGTGGCCAAGAAGGATTTCCATGCCCAGAAGCACCCGGAACTGGAGTCGATCCCCAACCTGCACGTGATCAAGGCGTTGCAGTCGCTCCACTCGCGCGGACTGGTGAAGGAGCAGTTTGCCTGGCGCCACTACTACTGGTACCTCACCAACGAGGGAATCGAGGAGCTGCGCAGCTACCTCCACCTGCCGCCCGAGATCGTGCCCTCGACGCTGAAGCGCCCTGCCCGCTCGGAGACCGTCCGTCCCCGTCCCGCCGTTGGCGGCCCACGCGGACCCGGTGACGCCACCAAGACCGGTGAGGATCGCTCCGCCTACCGACGTGCTCCCGGCGGCAGCGGAGTGGACAAGAAGGGCGATGTTGGACCCGGTGCCGTAGAGGTCGAGTTCCGTGGCGGATTCGGACGCGGATCGCGCAACTAAACAACCCAGGCGCTTCAGTTTTTTTTTTCTAATGTATAAAAATCACTCAGTAAAATGTTGAACTGAAGATCCATACCCTCAACAATAGAAGAAACCAACATCTGAAAAAATGTGTGTGTTTTATATGACGATCAATTATAAAGCAAACGCAAGTGAAACTTCGTGCTCTATTTTTTTTTTTTGGTCCAGTGATTGTGGTGTGCAAATCCGATGTAGATTCAGAATCCAATTGAGCTAGATGGCATTGTAAATCCGATGTCAGGCCAAACTGAAACTTACTGGCCCAACGCATTTCTGCAAAAAGCTATTTAAAGTACTTAGAAGTAGGCTTTTGCGGATAATGTATATTATGATGCGAGGGTCTGTAAAGACATTCATCGTCGTTCTGTGGAAAGCAGGAGATCTGATCATGAAAAACGTTTTTAAATACAAACGATGGAGCTATATTCATTTTTCCGTTTTATTTGTTTACATTGTTTTAACGTTGACAATTAGCTTAGTAGCTTACTAAAATCCCCTTTTCTAGCTCACGAGCCTCTGTTTTGTTGCTATGTAGCTTGCTTTTACTTATTTTATATTAATTATAATCATCTTAATACAATAGCTCCCCTTTTCCCAAAGGTTAGTTTCAGTTTTTCGAACTTTCGTCTACTTATTTTATTTTAAAGTTTATAATTCCCCATTTAACGTTGGTTACTTTCAACTAATAATCATATGTACTTATAACCTAGGCCTGTGTAAGTAAACTAGTTAATGCACTTAGTGTGCTGCAATACTTGGGCCATAAAGTATTTTGAACCGCTTAGCCTGACGAACCTTAGCTATAGGCGTACAAGAACTACATACATCAATATGCGGATTTCCATATGGCTTTTATTCTAGGTTTAAGTTAAAGATACGGATACAGTGCACCGCAATAGAAAACTGGTTTGAATAGGTAAGGTTATGTACTCCGTAAAAAAGCCAACAGGAAGGTGTGCTACACTTCCCCTTTTGAATGTGAATAAATCTGAAGAAATATGGAGACTTCATCATTTCCTTAAAATGGTTAAAGACTGGATGTGACCGTGATTTCCGCAAAAACGTTCTACATCGCAACTGAGCCGCAATGCACAGAAAAGTACTTGCTTGCAATAAAAATCGCGTTGTATACAAAATTAATTGTTTCATTATTTACAATATGCAATACTCGTTAAGAAAAATGTACACCTAATCTAGTGCTACGTCTGTACCAATAATTTTATGAAAATACGTCTCTTGACCGAAGAAACGGGACGGGCGCAATGTGAGGGCGCCCGGCCCGGCGGCGGAGCTATCGGCGCTTTATCGAGATCTTGCCTTTGGCCAGATGGGACATGTTGATCTTCACCTTGGTCTCGTTGGTGCGTTTCACCCAAACCTGCAAGAGGGAGTCATAGTTAGTAGCTGGCCGGCGCTGCTTGTAACCCGAGAAGGGGAAGGGAAAACTCACCACCTCGTTGCCAATGGCCGTAATGGTAGCCGCAAACTTGCTCATCTCCTTGCCCTCCACATAGACCTGCTGGCCGCGGCAGAACCACCGTCGCTCGTACAGCAGCTTGTTGTCCTCGATGCGGGTCTCCACCAGGCCGCTGTTGGAGGTCGGCTCGGCCAGGACGTTCATCGATTGCTGCTGCTGGGAGCCACTGCCGTAAGAGCCGCTACCGTTCTGTTGGGGAACTGGATTCGGTCTTCCACGCTGGATGATCTTCAGGTCCGATTCGATCTCCTTGTCATCCAGCTGATAGACGAGCAGCTGTCCGGTGGCCGGCTTGCGGCGCTTTTCGATCACCGGAAGCGGTTCGTTGGGGCGACGACGCAGTTTGCGCGTGACTGTCGTCTTGATTTCCATGGAATCGTTAGTCAGCTCAAGGCTGTAGCGCTCGTTCTCGATCTGACGCTTGCGGTCCTCAAAATCCGAAATCAGATTATCTTTGAGGTCCATCATCTTTTCGTCGTACTCCTTCTGGGCGGCCATCTTCTCCAGCACATAGTCCCGTTCGACGCACTCGCGCATATACTCCTTGTAGATCTCGTTCAGCCGTCGACGCTCTTTCAGCTGGTTGTCCAGCTTCTTCACGCGCTTTATGTACTCCGGGTGCACCAGCTGGCTTAGTTCTTCCATCTGCTTCTGCAGGTTCAGCAGCTTGTGCTGATACATTCTGCGGGAGTTAAATGACAATGAGAGGCAGAAGTAAGAATGCGGATGCAAATGTCACTACTTACTGCTCCTTAAGTTCGCTATTGGTGCCCATGCTGTTGCTGTTGGAGGTGCCATTCGTGCCGCCGTAGCGGCTGGGGCTGCGGAACTCCGTCTCGCTGGCGTCGTCCGTGTCTGGAAGAGAGTGCGAGTGGGAGGGCGAGCGCGTAGGACGCGGGACGTGAATGAGGCCTCCTCCAGGAAAACCGTGTGCGTATTGGTACTCACCTTCTTCGCTGCGCTCGTCGCCTATCGACTCATCGTCGTAGTTGTCCGCCGCGTAATGGGTGTAGTAGGCGGTCATGGTTGCGTCGGTGGGTTCGGAACTCGAGGCTTTGAAACGTGATTCCCAGGAACAACAATTTTGTGGCAATTGTTTATTATTATTTATTTTCTTCGCTGCGATGCCAGATATACACACGCATACAGTGAGACATCCACGACAGAATCGATATATCGAGCACGACTACTATCGTTCGTTTCCCACCTCTAGCGTGCTGTGTGGCCGTTTTGCGGCAGGGCTGCCAATAGCCGATAACTGGCCATCTTATTGATCGGATATCGATATTATCTGCGCGCGTAGTTTAAATTTGAAATGGTTTTCGTTACAGCCCGATTCCATTTCTCTACTAAAACCAAAAATAAAGTTATATTAATTATTTTTTGATATGTTTATTATATGTAAGGCTGAAGTTCTAAGCTCCATAACTCAACTTATCGTAATCGGATTTCGAAGTGGCGCAATTCTCTACAAATCTGCATTTAAACTTAGAAATTTATTTTTTTTAAATTTTTTTTATGTATGATGATGTAAAAATTCAAAAAAATTAAATAATTGTTCAAAGCTGAAGCTCTATACTCCATAACTCATCTTATCTTAATCGGACTTACTTATCTTAATAAATGTAAACGTATAGAAAGCAATGGTATCATGTTTAAAATGAATCAATTAATCAGACAACCAAACCAACATTTTCTGTATATAGGAAAATGGTAATTGCTGCATTTATTAGGCTATTGTTATTGAAAACAACTTTTGATGACGCATTCACCATGACATCAGTAGATATATTTCAAAAATATGTCACCGGGCTAGAATGGAAGTGAATTACAGCTTCGTGGGAGTAATTTAATTGAGTAACTCACGGCTCCCATTTGGCCTTTTTTAATTCGAATTCCCGTCCTCTAGAGCTAAACAAATGACTTAAGCCGTGAACGGTTTACAGTTTCGAACAATAAATTTCGGGCTGTCGTTTTTGCGCATCATAAAGTTTAATTTGTGTATCTGCCCGCCTATAATTAAATAGTGCCCGCACAAGTACTGCACTCGTACGTATACGTAATACGCGTTTTCACGTACAATCCACATTGAAAATCCACATGGGCGAAAGCATGCTTTTGTTTGAATACTATGGCTGACACATATTTCAATGCTGTCGTCAAGCAAGAGCTATCCACTGGCCAGTGGATGATGCCGCCCACGCAGGAGGAGATCGCTGTGTGCCATTTGCCCGAGCTGAAAAATTAGTGAGCGCTCATCATCGGCCAAAAATTCCATGCTAAATCATCGCGAGTAAATTTTGATTGATTTCTGACTGCGAGGGGGTGGTGGCTATTTGGCTATTTGGCTACTTGGTTTTCGTTGTTGTTTTTCCTTTTTATTTTGCTTTTCGATTTGGAATGGACTATGAGTTTAAGTGGGATGACATGCCGGCAAATGACTAGAGCACCTATATACACATCCTATATACATACATACATACATGTACACTTGTTCTGCTTTTTGCCTCGAATGAGTAGAATTCTCTGGTGACGTGGGGCAAATTTGTTTTCCCAATTTCTCGTTGATCTTCACGAGATATGCGCATATGTGTATGTATATGAATTGCTTCAGTTGTCTTGGCAAAACCATAGTACACATACTGCAGACTCATGTTTCTAGATGATTCCCATTTATTATCCAGCTAGTTAATCGGAATTCATTAAATGCATCAAAAGTCATAAGTGTAATTGAGTTAGGGGAAACTATTACAGAGTTTAGAATATGGAATCCTCTTTAGAAAATGATTTATTTGAAGATCAGATTTCAGCTGGGAGTCTAGAACTATCCACTATCTGCAGCAGAGTGGATGCCACTTTAACACAGATATGCAACAGATGCGTATTGTATACCCATTATTTTCGTGGTTTGCCGAGCGGGGACTTAGTCGAGGCACTGGGGACTTCAAGGTCGACATTATTGATGAAAATGAGTTTGTTGTTTGGACAGGGGGCATTAACGGGCAATACGAGCATGTGGGCGCTGTGAAAAATACAATGAAAACACCTCAGCCGCCAAGCAGCGATGATTGTCATTTTATTTTCGTAATTCGTGAATATATCTATAATTATTTGGATGGCCCAACTGTCGTTGCCCCCGATGGAATTTCGAGTAATAAAACGGTCACGGATTCAAAATACGATTGATGCTCCCTCGCAAAATCCAAAAATTGCATATTAATATGTTGCGCGCGGACTTATAAAATTCTAGATTTAACTTATGATCAGGCAATAACCTTAATTTAAATAAAATATGATAGCTAATTGTTTTGTTATGGAAGAACAACCTTTGCTAATTTGAAAACAAAATCTAGTTCGTTTGGCTAGTTACAATCATTTTATTTGGTTTAATTCATAATCGACAATCTCATCCACATCTCACACTTTTCTTGCAGTTGCAACTTTGCAAGCGGGTCTCATTAATTTCATTTTTATTCACCTGGCCGACGCTCCCTAAAAGGAAACCTCCGTGCACGAATCGAATGAACTCGACTCGAGTCCCGATTCTCGACTCCGACCGCCAATGTCACGCGGCTGAGTCATTTTGCATTTGTTTACAAACAAACCGAAGCGGAGTGGGTAGTTCCATGGATATGGCTGAGCACACTGGGAGAAAAAGAAGGATAATCTAAAGGAATCTATATGTACTACAATGCCCAATGGCCACTCGTTGAGAATGAAACAACTTCTATAATAAAATTGTTATATGTATGTATAAAAGCCAAGGCTTATAGATTTACAACAGTACAGACCTACACGATTCCCAATCTTAGCGCAGCATAGAGATGATTAATCAAGGTATCCATATTCATTTTCTCTGTGTGTATTTGGCCGCCAACGTATTCCACCCACCCGGTCTAGTATTGGGATTTATCGACTCTGCACACTGGGCGGAATTGGCTTTTTGATTTAAGGTCTTAATGATGATGAGCTTTGGGTGTAAGCCCGCTGCTATGAACAAGGTATCGTGAGCCATCACGCCATAAATGTTCTATTTTAAGACGATGGATAAGGCCGACCCACAGCGCGGTAAACGCACTTTCAACCAATGTGCACCTCTCCCCGCCAAAGAACATTTCCCAAAACGGTAGGAAGCGTTGATCGCCAACCCGGTTAACTCAACACGATCGCTTGCAGTGCCACTTGCCCACTCGTACTCACACTTAGCACTCACACTCACACTCGCACTCACCGCACTCAAATGGACTGGGATCAGCTGAGTGAGCTTCGGATGCAGTCACAGTTCGAGGAACTCGCTTCCATGATTGAATGGCTCTCATGCAAGATGTTTTAGGCATGCTTAGAGGAGAACAGTTAATCATCAACTAATCAATAGTTGCTAATTACAGGGCTTTGACGCACTTAGTTCTATGATCACAGCTAGTTATACTTTATTTCTAATTATTTAAAATTGATTAATTTCCGACTATTACAAAGTATTATAGCAACGTCTTTCAGGGTATATCGTTTGGGATGAACGTCTTAAGAATATTGAACACAATTTATATAGTGTAATTATAAAGTCAATTGCAATATCATTTGTCGCCACAAAAGTTTGTATCCAAACTTTTGTATTTTGAAGGTTTGATTTAATTTTTGTTTTTGTTTGATTTATGTATACTCGGTCATAAAGCGTTTTATTTTTATGATGGGGTTTTAAATATTTTGTTGTCTTAAGAAAAAAAACTACATATTTTTCATAAATGTAACAAGTTTTTGTTCAAAGTTGTGTTTAATTTTTATGACAGAATTCCTTTCCAACTTGAAGATCGAAAGATCATACCCCAGAAATGACACTATTATGGCTTTATTATTATTAATTTCCTTTCGTCACTAATTCCTTAACTAGTGATTACAGTACACTTAAGCAATTCTTTTTAGGGAATAAAAACACTAATTAATTTGACGGCAGCATTAACATAAAGAAATTACCGCCAATCCACAAATCGATGACTAAATGTCGAGTCATCGACCTATCGATATCGCACCCATACTGCGCAACGGCAATCGAAGTACAATCGGTACAAAAGCTATAAAAGCAAAGACTCCCTGAGAATGCAAAACAGTCTAAAAATTGAAACGCGGCTATCTGTGCGATACGTCCAACCAAAACCACACACTTGAACGTCTTCAGTTTCGAATACATATAGAAAACCCATCGAGTTCCCCATTTTTTTTGATTGCTCTGTCGATTAGCAAGTGAACAAGCTCGAAAGCGCGTTGAGCAGAACAGAGAATAATAGAACGGTATACAGTATATACGGTATACAGTATACAGTGTACATCGAAGATATTGGCGACTCCATCTAGCGAAGCAACCACCAAATAACCACCAACAAACAGCACAAAAATGGCCGAGGCTAACAAGAGGAATATCCCCATCAAGCTGGGCGACTTCAGCGTCATCGACACGGAGTTCAGCAACATCCGCGAGCGCTTCGACTCCGAGATGCGCAAAATGGAGGAGGAGATGGCCAAGTTCCGTCACGAGCTGATGAACCGCGAGGCCAACTTCTTCGAGTCCACCAGGTGAGCGGATTGGTGATACCAGTGGGTACAACAGTGGGTTGTTATATTTGCCGGGTATAGTGCGATGGCCCCAACTCCCTTCATCGCCTAGTTGTGGGCTCCTCTAAATATAGGCTCACATCTTGCCACATCGACCACTGGTCTGGAGCACTTCACTCACAGATTCGTACGTATGTATGTACAGTTGTATGTACCACATACACACCAAACGGTGGGCTTCTTAAAGGCGAGCGGCCCGATTCGATTCTCGCCCCAGATACACTATGTGTATTTCTTTGCCGTCGCTCTGGGGGAGGATGAGTCACCAGTTCTAAATTCTCCGCCGCTGTCTCCGGCCAAGAAACACATGTGTATCTGCCCGCCACCCGCAAGTAATCCCCCGCCCGTCCCGGGTTAGCCAGCGTCTTTTCCTTCCTTCCTTTCCGCCCCCCGATCTCTAGTCACATTCCGTTTATGCAACCATTATGTAGGGCATAACGGAATTTTTCGAACTTTGAGAATCACCCGTGCCAAGATATTCCGTTATGTGCGCGTCTGTGTGCGTGTGTGTGTTGGGTTTCCTACCTAAGCAGAAAAATGTAATTGTTGATAATAAGATAAGATATTAAAATCTGGTCTCTGGCAGCAAGTTGAGAAT